ATTAGATTTTAGGATTTTTTCCAAACTCATATCCAGTTGCTTGAGTGACTGCTTTTTGGCGTACATAGGATATTGTCATTTTCTTCTACACAACCAGTAATGTCTCTCCCCTGCTTACGTTTTGATGTCTGTCAGACATATTCCTCAGAGCGTCTAACTGAACATGAGAACATTAAAAGAAAGTCAACCCCAGTGATGAACGAGGGGGGATACAAACTTAGCCACGTTTGGGATTGTGTTCTCGCTGCAAAAGCGCCACCTATATCGGATGCATATTAGTATAGCGGCGAGAAGCAGAACTCCAGGTAGAAGCTCTGAGGAATCTATGACGGACATGGAAATGTAAGTAGGTGAAAGACACCTAGACACCCAATCAATTTACTGAAGTAAAAAATAGAAGTTTATTTCGTTGGTTGAAACCGGATTCATATCTCTGGTGAATTTTTCTAGTCTTTGATAAGCATTTGAAGTAGCCTGGTTACTTAAAGCTCCCGAGTCATACATCCTCTCCGCAAATACTTCCGGAGAGAATGTAGGACTGTAGGAATGTAGGAATGTTTTGTTGTGACAGTGATGGTCTTGTTGTGACTATGATTGTTTTGTTGTGACTGTGATGGCCTTGTTGTGACGGTGAGGTTTTTGTTGTGACTGTGATTGTTTTGTTGTGACTTTGATTATTTTGTTGTGACTGTGATGGTCTTGTTCTGACTGTGATGGTTTTGTTGTGACTGATTGTTTTGTTGTGACTGTGATGGTCTTGTTGTGACTGTGATGGTTTTGTTGTGACTGTGATGGTTTTGTTGTGACTGATTGTTTTGTTGTGACTGTGATGGTCTTGTTGTGACAGTGATGGTTTGTTTTGACTGTGGTTGTTTTGTTGTGACTGTGATTATTTCGTTGTGACTGTGATTGTTTTGTTGTGACTGTGATGGTCTTGTTGTGACTGTGTTGGTCTTGTTGTGACTGTGTTGGTCTTGTTGTGACTGTGATTGTTTTGTTGTGACTGTGATAGTCTTGTTGTGACTGTGATGGTCTTGTTGTGACTGTGATGGTGTTGTTGTTTTTTTTTTTTTATTTACTTCAGAATTCACCTCAAAACAAGGCTCGTGAGAGTCACAGGTTTTGGGTTACAGTGATGACTGCGTGGTCAGATATTTGTTCACCCTTGATTTAAACCGTTGGAGGTTGTAATTAGCGGTGAAACATTCACGGGGAAGCTTGTTCCACAGTGAAGTGGTTCTGGGAAAGAAACTGTCAGCATGAAATTTTCTCTTGACTGATGGACTATTGAGGAAGAAAGGGTGATTTCTGCTGTTGAGGTGGCTAAGCGTGTTCTTGCAGAGAATGTTCTGAGTGGGGTACGAGGGAGTGAAGTTCAGCAGAGCATCTGCCGTGGA